TGATGGGAGTAGAGGCAGTCCACTTTGGAGCCTTAATACTAAAAAGTCTTTCTTTATAAGGTTTTTCTACAACCATTTGGCTAAGAGAGAGACTACTAGAAGAGACTTCCTTTACAAACAAATTTGGAAGGTTAATGCATTGTCCAGAGTTGCTTTTTTTGCTTGGGAGGCAGCCAGTGGTTGCATTTTAACTTTTGACAAGTTGATCGTAAGGGGCAGAGTTTTGGTGAATGGTTGTTATACGTGCAGAAGGGATGCATAGTCATGTAGTCATCTACTTTTATGCTTCCCCTTTGTGTATGGATTGTGGACCCTTACTTACAGCCTTTTTGGTATTAACATGATGACTGGTTCAATGAGGGAGGAAATTTTGGGTGGTGTGGAACGAAAAGAACATGAGATCTTTTGAGAAGACAGGTCAATTCTGGTAAGGTTAATGATAGCTGGTTCCAGACCCTAGATTTTTTTATTAAGAGTCATCATCTTTATTCTTTTGAGGACCTTGAGGATTTTATTGACCATCTGATGGATATATAAATACTCTTTGTACCCTCTTGGTGCGTGTGAATGAATACATATATATATATATTATTTCGAGAAAAATAAAACACCATTTCATTTTATTGAAGGAGTTGCAGAACAAGACATCCAAAGGAATCTTTCAAAGATCATTAACCAAGTGAAGTCGTTGCTTAAAAATGTTTGCATTTTCTATGCTACCAATGGACCTTTAAACCCATGAAAATGGCCCTTCCCTAGAGCACCAAATTCTTGTTACCCCTTCACACCGCATAAAGTAGTAGAAATGAAAATCTTTCTCTGGGAGCACATCCAATACACTCTAAATTCTTTTCGAGATAAAAAAATATGTATTAAGTATGTGGCACTAAAGGAATGCTGCCTGTATACAAAATATTTACATCTCAGTTAGAATGTCAATGACTTTTTCAAAATCTTCCTACTCATATATGTCATGACCCATAATTTCTTTTTTGAAATAAATGTCATGACCCATAATTAAAGACTAAAAACATATATTCACCTACCTTTAATTTTGACCGTATCCCCTTCACACTCTTCAAATGGGCTATTGTTTATTTTTTTCCACACCACCCAAAAAAATAGTTAAAAGAATAAGTTTTACAATTTTTCTCTTTTCACAAATCCCACCACAAGCTCAAAGTTCATCCCTAATTGTACTCACACCCAGTTGATACCTACAGTCCGTAGACTATAATCCAAATATTGTACATCACTGGACCCCAAAGAAGGATGTGATTAGAAGATTCGACCGCTTTCTTGCATTAGTAGTAACCATTAATCATGATTTTGCCAATTTTCATCAACTTGTCATTGGTAAGAATACATTCTTAACTCGCTTCCCATGCAAAACATCTAGCATGCTCTAAATGAAGAACATAATCTAGTCAAAAGTCCTCAAGCCATCAAAATGCAAAAAGAAAAAAAAACTAATGTATTTCAAGCTTTAAAGCACATGAAGCACGCATATACAGGAAGAGCTCTTTGAGGTCTACAAGGCTAATACAAGTCATTACTGTTAATCTTGTTTACAATGGCAATCCAAACTAAAAAATCTCACCCTAGATGAAGCACTCACTTTCCAGAATGAGGGGGATTGCAAGGGTTGGGACAAATTTTTCCAGTGAGGCTGTGATCAGAAACAAAAATGAGAGGTCATGTTCTCTAATCTCGACTAGAGGTAGGTCCAAACCATCCATTGGTTAAATATTTGTACTTCTATTCCTTTCTACGAGAGTGTGGGTTCGGGTTCTGCATTGTATCCTTTATCATAAAGCAAAAGATGTTTTTAAAAAAGAAACTAGAGGTAGTTCGAAAAGTTTCTAACAAAATTATCAAAGAGACCAATTCTAGTGATTCTTGATCTCTCAAGTTCCTTAGAAGTAAAATATATCAGGATATATGACTCTAGTGGATATATGAGTCTATAAAGGCTTGGAGTTGAGAAGCAAGAGGTGCACTCTTTATACACCTATCTACAGCACCCTTATGCTGCATAAGGTTCTTGCAAATGCATAAGAGAACTGTTCTTTAAGAAAAAATTCCCAATGCTTACTCTTATCCCTGTGATCCAGTGTGGGTGAGGATGGTTCTGCATCTTGTTAAATTGGACGCTTGCTCTCATGATTATCTCAATTCTATTAGCACAACTAGATCCTAAACAAGGATAGAGGAGAAGGGCAGTTGGACAAACATGGCTACAACAAAATGATCCTTCCTGCTGCAGAAAACAGCACTCCTTTCCTTCTCTATAATTTATTATGCAAAATTTGTTAATTTAAACATCCAAAACTGATTCTATATTATGATTAACCAAACATGGTAGCTTTTTTATTTTATAGTGATATTTTTATTCTTGAGAAATCACTTTATTATTATTAAACACTATTCTCACAATACTTTTAATTAGTCAAGAAACATGCATTAATAAGAATCAAACAATTATTCTTAGATGACTACTAGGTAGAAGTCATTTAACTCAAGAAAACATGAATTAGTGATGTCCTTTGTGTTACTAGAATTATGAGGATGCATAGTTTTTCCTTGTCTCTATTTTGCATGGTCCACCAATCAATCCTCCTCCCAGCCCTTCCAGAAATGGAACAAAATCAACTCTCTATATGCGTGTGCTTAGATTTATGATGAACCTAATAATGGTTTAATAAGCATTGGTTTGAACGTACTTTATTATGAAGAACTATTATTAGGACTCAGGAAATTTCTCTGAGCTCCTATTACACTCTAATTTAATATTCTCTGCATTTGTTCCATATCTAAGTCTCTATGGTTCTATCACAATTGATCTTAGTTGCCAACTCCTCTCCCTACATCATTGATGTTGTTTCTTTTGTGTGTAGTACTCTCCTTGAAGTTGTGGACTGCATCATTCGTACTGCGGCATCTTCTTATTCATTTGTTTGCAATCTCCATTTGTCTCTCATGCTTTAAGTACATGATGAGCAAATAATTCCTGTGTTTTTTTTTTTTACATCTGATGATTATTGCTCAGTTTCTTGAGGTCTTAAGCTCAGACTTCCAGTGAGAACTAGATCTTTTATGCATTCATATAATGTGACAAAGTCGTAAAGTTATGACTTCAGACTTTTAGTTTATTAATTCGCGATTATTTTGTGTCTCAGGACTTCCGGCCGAGACATCTATCGAGAGGTTTGTTACAATAGGTGCTTACTGTCTCTTACGGTCATGCACAATTGAGCCAGAGTGCATTATTGGGCAGCATTCAATCCTTATGGAAGGGTCCTTGGTGGAGACACACTCTATTCTTGAAGCTGGATCTGTAGTTCCCCCAGGGAGGAGAATTCCAACTGGTGAGCTTTGGGCAGGAAATCCAGCAAGATTCGTGAGGACTCTGACCCATGAAGAAACCTTAGAGATCCCTAAGCTTGCTGTTGCAATTAATGATCTGAGTAAAAGCCATTTCTCAGAGTTTCTCCCTTACTCGACTGTATATTTGGAGGTTGAGAAGTTTAAGAAGTCCTTGGGTATTTCCATTTAATGGTTTCTGTCTTGCGTCTGCATAGTGGATCATCAGAAATTTCCTTGCAAGGAAATAAGCACCTCCAAAACATAAAAGGCAAGCATTTGAGTTTTCCTTGTAGCTTTTCTGTTTCCTCGTCTCTGTAATTTGATTTTGCTGGCTGTGTTGCGAGCTTCAATCAAATAATTATAGTGAAGCACTTGTTTCAGATTTTTTTTTTTTTTTTCTTTTTTGATGAGGCACACATTGTTTTGCCACACTCCTTGCTAGATATTGTGCTTTGGTGGTGCCTTGCCCAGGCAATACAATACTTTTGGTTTATATTATCCATGAAACTGAAGGTAGCTTCTTGACTGGATATTGAGTTTATTATTGGGCATGAACGTCTTCCCAGCACCCAGGACTATGAGGGAGTTTATGGTTTCTTGAGTTTGTACCAAATAAATGTAATTTGTGATATATATCTTATTTCGTAGAGAATATAACAGGTAAATCGACGCGGATATGATCGTTGAGAAATAGTTGGCCTTGTATATATAATAACCCAAGGGAACCAGCATATGCATTGTGAGGAGGTTGTAATCATTCAAACACATGTTGGAGTGTCAACATTTTGGAGGTGAATCGCAGGTGTTGTGTTTTATGGATCTTGACTTTCTGGGTAAGTTTCTTTTTTTCTGATTATTCAAAACTTAGTGCACGAGTAGATGTTTTTGTTGGCTGACACGAACTGGGATTATTGATATCTAGGGTTGGTGAAAAGCTTGTTATAGTGCTATGCCCACCTTATTATTATATAATTATAGCTCCAGTTCTGGTGCGAATCCAAGGCATCAACCAATCTACAGATACCCATCGTCTACTCACAAAAATAATACATTGTGGGTCTTGCTGAGAACATTATTTGCTGTAAAATGATAATCATTAGCAATAACAATTAATAATTAGATCTAAACTAATATGAATTTTCCTCTTCCGCATACTTTTCTTTTGTTTTTTTTTTCAGAAGCAAAAGTGAGGAATGAGGTTTCACTTCAAAATTTCAAAGGAACGTGATTATGTAAAGCCATGTTTCGACCTGGATGTTTTTGGGATACTCCTAATTACTTAAAAAGAGTCGATTGTATAGAAGAAGGCTATAAATCAATCACTAGAAGTGATATATATGTATGTGCAAATACAAAAGGATAGAGGGAAAGTAAAGCTTATTATTGGGCTGATTGATTGGTTGAATAATCTTCCATCTATAACTCCTGAGAGGAAGATTCCTTGGGACAAGAAATTAGGTGGATACTCTTGCGTCGTTGAAATTCAAAGCTCTGTAGTGGAGATGATAAGAAGAATCATCCATCAAAACTCTTCTAAATTTGGGAAATATTTTAAAAAATTCAGTCACGAATTTTGGACAGATATTAGTTGTGCATTTTAATAAGCTATTGATAATGAAATTAATCACTTTTCAACTACCGCTTAGCCTTCTCCCTTCTCCCTTCTCCCACCACCATGATAATATACCAAATTACAGGTCATTACCCCCATATATATATATTTACTCACAGAATATCTGTGTCAACTGTAATTTTTTTAATAAACGTGTCAATCATATATGTATTATGTCACTTTGCAGATTGAAAAAAAAAAAGAAAAAAACTAAGAAATTTTATAAAATTATGGAGTTAGTAATTTAGAATATCTCTTTACCATAATCAGCAATGAAAATTGGAAAAACCAGACAGGGAAGGGACCTCTTCTATCTCTTAAATGTCATCAGCCACTAAGCATTATGGAGGACCAAATGGGTAATATTTATATATTTCGTCACTCTTCTAAATCTAGCTAAGATTTTGACGTCCTAACCATTTTAATATCTTCATTATACCTTTCCACTTGATTATATATATATATATATATATATATATATTATATTATATAAACAGACCTCTCATCACCAACTAAACTAATCCCTCTTACAATTTTAGTTTCCATCTTTGTTTTGCTCCAAAATGATCGAAGATCATTGCATTTAGTACTTCTCTTGACAGGAAAACAGTTTCCAAGTTGAGTTATCTATGGATCTCTGGTTAATCAGTCACGGGTATTGGTATTATTATCCGGTAAGCTTGGAGAAGTTTAAGGTACGGGGATGTTGGAATGGCTCAATCAAATCAAATCTCCAAAGTCTTTGATTTTGGGTCTTTTAATTTGATTGAGCCGTGCCAATATCACGTATATGTGTTTTCGTTCTTAACTATTTATCTTTCTTCTTTACCATATATGGAAGGAGACCGATATTACATACAAAATTTTCTACTCTGTTTTTGTGTGCATTTCGCTTATGAACTATTGTTATATATGAAAAGTTATTAAGTACCATTTCAAAAGTATAATTAAAATATAATTCAAAACAAATGAATTATATTACGAGGTTTAACAACTTATGTGTTATTTTTGGAACAATAATTTAATAAACTTTCATGTTAAATCTAATTATATTAACGTGAATTTTCTTATTTTTATGCTAAAGATTAGGAAATATGATAAAATTGAGTTCTTGTTATATTTTCTTTCATGTCTATTAAAAAAAAAAAAATTAGAAAACATAAGAGACAAAGAGATTAATGGTTTCTATTAGGGTTTAGTATGATATTTACTCATTCTCTTTGTGACAAAACGTAGTATCTAATCATGGATAACTTTTCATACGAAGCTAAACAAATGCGTGTTCGTATAAATATTTTCTTCTTTTGTATTGAATCTTTATTGGAATAAAAAAAAAATTCGAGAAGCAATGTTTTCTCTTTATTATGTAAGAAACAGTTGATTGTTCCTTCAATTTTAAACAAGTGTTGCATGTATTTGATTAGATTGGAAAGCCAAAAACAATTTCTGATTGTTTTGAAAGAGATGAAAAATGAACATGAAAAGTTTCATATTCCAATGGACCAAAAGGATTTTGAATCAAAGTACTCTACAAAAGTGGGATCTCTCTTTTCTTAAAATATTTATTTTGTAATCTTTGCTTAAAATAATGGTTACATTGGTTTTTGATGACATTTTTGTGACTAACGATTAAGTTCAAGGTGTGTGTATATATATATATATCTCGTAATATTTAACTATATATTTTCTATAGTTATTTAATTAATTTATTATTAACAGATACCAATTTATTTATTTGTTGTTGCATTTACTACAAATATAACTATATTTTTGTTTGCTATTTTTAAACATTAATTAGGTTTTTTGTAACTATTTATTACCATCTTTGACTATCATTTGTCATTGTCTTTTTCATATATATAATTATATTCTATCATCATCTTCGGTTATTATATGATTATCTAAAATTTATGATCACCATTCGGATATTAATTATTATTTTCAAATTTAGATTGACATTTAGAAATACTAATCGACAGTGAAAACCAATCATATTTAATAGTAGATAATAGTCAGCGATAACAATAAATAACACTTGAAGTGATACGATGATTGTGATAAATATATTAGATTTAAAATATTTAGTAGTGGATTTTCATAGTTTTAGGCCTAAGAGAGAATTGAAAAGACATTTTTTTTTTCTTTTTGTTTTATGTATTTCAAAATTTATGTATTGAATGTTAGAAATTCATTAATTAAATCATACAATTCTTTTTTAAAAAAAATAAATGATTGTAGACATCAAAAGAAACTATTAATAAATATAAATTGAGTGTTCAAAATTCTATCAATAAAATTATATAATTTAAAAAAAAAATAAATGATAGTTAAAGACGATAATCATAGATAATCAAAATAATAATAGGATATAATCAAAAATAACAAATAAGATTTAAAGATGATAACTGTTGATAATAAAAATAGTAAAAAAGTATAACTGCATATAATAATTCGATAACTATAAATAAATTATATATCATGAGATAATAATATTTTAAAGTATTTAGATGTATATTATAGAGTTCTCGGTATTTATTTCCGAAACTACTTTTTAATTTTTATCTGGGTTCCATCACCAATCCCATCTCTTCCTAACCATCATTCCTAATGCAATTTTTGTTGAACATTTCATGAAGGATTCTTCTTTCCAGTGCAACACAAAATCCAAGGTCTCATAAATCTGTCCTTAGCAAGAAATAAACTAAACAAAACTATTACAAAACATGTACACTGTTGGGTGAGGAATACAATACCGTTCAGCGACTTTAATAGCAGGTATATTACCACATAACCAATGGCAGCTGGTGCTCAGACCCTCTTCTAATGCAGATCCGGATAAAATGTTTGCAAATACCATCTACTTGAAATCTTAATGGATATTTTTGCAAATATGATCATTTTTTGCTGCGAAATATTCTCATATGCAAATATAAAACCGCATTGCTCCTTCAGGTTTGCCTTAAACTGCTACAAAAATGTCAAGAAATCATGAAAAGCTCAGAGTTGAGTCTTCAGATGCTCTTACATTGTATTTGCGCCTTTTGAAAATTATATATGTAGTTTTCCACAGTATATATATATATATATTCTGAAATCCCAGTTTCAATACCAAGAGATTGTCTTCTTGCTTGGCATGGCAGCTATGAACCTTAGTTTGGTATTGCTTTTTGCTTGTTGACACATCATATTTTTCTATATCAGTACAAGATTACTTCAATGTATTTCCTTTTGTGAATGTGATTATTGGCAGCTCTCATAGATGTTCCACCTTTTAGAACAGGGTACATAATGAACCCAAAAAGAAAGCAAAGATTTCAATCCAACATCCAGAGAGAGAGAGTTCTGTTCTCAGAAGTCATAATTCTTGTGAAGTTTACCCAAATTCTTTCTTTATCTACATCAACAACTTGCAATATTACCTATTAGATATATATATATATATATATATATATATATATATATTCACGTGCAAACGCTAGAAACTGTCATGTAGCCTTGCAAGTCTCGTCAAACTTGAAGGAAAGGATGGACAAACACTAATGGTTTGCCCGTGCTGGAGAGTATGACATCAGCAGATAAACTGTGCTATATACATGCATACAGCAATGAACAGAGCCTCCTCGGCTTTCTTCCAACCTCGAGCTTGTGAAGTCGCGCCCAATTTCCCCACAACAAAATATTCCTGCCAATGGCATCCCAGGAAAGTTGTCCAGGAAAGGAGAGCTATCAACATTGAAACGTCGAAAGAATGATTTACCACGGCCACAACAAGAGAATATAAAGCCTCCAAAAGCTTCCTTCTTATCAAGGCTATCAACAACACCTGTTGTTTCAGAGCAAACTTTGGAATTCCAATCCAGCTTCAAATTTCTAAGCTCTACAGTGGCATTGCTAGATGAGCTAAGTGCAGCATCAGGATCTGATTGGTATATCCGAAAATAGTCACCAGTTTTGATACCAACACCAACAGCATAAAGATACTCCTCATCTCCACTGTAAAAGATGGAAAAAATGTGAAATAATATCTTAAAAGTGAGAAAGAGAGAGAGAAAGACAGATTATCAAGTTTTGAGAGTGAGCAAAAAACACACTAAACTGCACAAAAAAAGCAGTTTCTCAACTTCAAAGATTAAGTGCACAAGTACTCCACAAACACTCAACCCCGCTTCTTCATCCATAGAAAGAACCATCAGCCGAGAAACTTGTGCGTAAACATAGCACCTATTTTATTACAATGGTCTACACCAAGCATTTAAGACAGCAATGAACCATACCCACTTGCAGGATCAATTTTGGTTCTTGCAATTCCCTCTTTGTTTTGAAAGTGCATATCAGATATTATTATTATTATCATCATCAAAATGCCACAAGGCATTGATTTATAGTAGCCATAAAAACCAACTAAAGTCTCAATTAACAGACTTCAGAACCATTCAAAATAATGGAACTTAGGCCAAAGATAACAAAGACTCCGTAACAAAAAGAGTCAAAAGTAGCCTTTTATCATAAAACTAGTCACCTAATCATAAGAATGTCTAAATCCAATACTGAGGAGACGGACACTTCAGTTGGCCCAATCATGGAACACCATAAACAAAAACAAGTGTTTTTTTAATCTTAGCCAGTACCCGATCTTCTACTTTACTTGGAACTGTAGTGGAACAATATAAGATACTATGGTTTCAATAAAATGTGAAGATATAGTGAAGTTGTCATTCAATTGGCTCACAAGAATGATGTAGGATAAATTAGGGTAAATTTGCCAAGTAAGAAATTTGGGAAAAGCCTAGCTATCACACCTAGGATCTTGGGTATCAGCCTTAAGCTTTGATTGAGTCACACAATCAATTATGAAAAATTCTCAAAAATATTATTGAATACTTGAATACTCCAATAAGTGAAATTACAAACTATTTATAATAATCTCTAAGTAATCTTTCCTATATAGAATTAAAGTAAGAAATGGTAAACTAGTAAATTTATGAATATTAATCATAACAAAAATAAGAAACTAATACTGTTATATTAGGAATATTAATCCTAATACAAATAGGAAAATATTAATAAAAATAAAAATTATAAGTTACTAAAACTATAAGAATACTCCTTAATAATATAAAATTCTAAATAGTATAACAGTTTTACATTCAATATAATAACAATTTCTAAACAGCTAAAATACTAAATTGGTCCCTGTACTATTTTTTTGCTATTTTGGTCCTTCTACTTCTAAAAAATTTTTATTTCAGTCCCGAACAGTTAACTTCCAGTAAACTATTAGTGGAAGTGCTCCGTGAATCCAGATTGGACATGAGACACATTCTAGTAGAGTAATTGTGTATGTCAAATGTCAAATGTCAAATGTTACATGTTCGATAATGTGATATTTACATAACCTTTTTTAATTATTATAATATAAAAACCAAACTAAAAGAAAAAAACCTGACCTGACCAACATTTAATTTATCACAAGCCTCACGCCCCTCACGCTTCTTTTCACTTATCCAAAAACAAGTGAAAATAAGGGAAGTTCGCATTTTCAAGCACTCTTCAAAAGTTCTTTTGGCAAGTGCTTCTACAAGGTCAATACTGGTAATAAAGCCGCCCAGGTAAATTAGAGTGCATCATTTCATACCAGGGTAATTTACCTTATCATCAATGTAACCAACAGCCAGAAACATGTCACAAACAATAAGATAAACGATTAAAATGAAATCATCAATTACACAAAAAATTAGTTTTTCGTGGTTATCTGTGAAATTTATTTGCATGTTCATGTAGTCAAGTTAAAATAAAAGAAGATCGAGATTGTCTTTACTTCCATACTTCAGTTGATAATTCCAGTCAAGTTCAACAATCAAATTCAGTGAAGGACACAGTACATGTAAGAAATTTCACTTTTCCATTTGACACAAGTGAGAGAACCTAATGCATGGATGATCTTACCCCATCACATTATGGAAAGCCATGGATGTTATCGGCCTTTGTTTCTCTGATCCAATGGAGAAATTTCTTCGTTTTGTAACTCCAACATACAGCTCGCCACAGATAATACCATCTTCTAACTGGCATATAAGAGGCAACAAAAGATAGAAAATAAATAAAGGAAGCACCGAATTTCATGAATACATATATGCAATTTATATAGCATTTAAGAGCTTAAAACTTGAAGCCCATCATGATATTATTGCCGTTATTTTACTGAAATGGGAACAGAAAGATTTAACAAATCAACATAAGAATTTCTTGAAAAAAAAAAAACAAATTAGCATAAGAGATGAACTGAAGTTTATGTTGGGGATAAAATTGTACCTCATTACTTATATCATTTAGGATTTGTTGGCCATCAAGAATCTCTAGCTCCCCTTCTCTTCTTGCAGTCAGCCATGTAACAGAATCAGAGTCAGTAACTCTGACAGCAACTGCCTTGTATCTAGGACCAATTGCTGAAAGACCATTTGACAATGCAACATGGAATTGGATTTCCCCTATACCTGCTAGTTTAAACCAAATTAATACAGAGAATATAATAATCTGCAGAATTCAGAAAGACTGAATTAGGGGTAGAGAGGAGATAAAATAGCAACTTTCTGTCAGGCTCTTTGATCATTAGAGTTTAGCTGTGCGTGGAAAGAAATGCTGAGAGAATAGAGGGAAGAGAGAGAAGTTGAGTCGAGAGAGGGAGTAAAAAAACAGCAATGGAATGAGAAGAATATAGAATTGAATTCTGCAAATTTTTTAATGTAAGTCCTTTTGGCTACATTCCCTTACATATAGTACCAATCATTGGTATCAAAAGGACAACAGCATTATGGACAGCTGTCACCACAGCTGGCTAAGAAGCTATCCTAGCATAATTCTAATAACAGAATTTCATAACAGAAACAGTAATCTAGTTCAGATAACCCTAATTCTTTTCCTACCTGCATAATTGTTGACATATTCTATGATACCAGCATTAGCACTAATAAGTTACAGCTCGTACTAATCTCACTACTGGCACCGAGAGATTTTTTTTTTGGAAATATACTGGCACCTAGAGAATTGTATTCCTAAGAAGAAGATAACACAAAAGGAAGTGCTTGTTTAGTGTACTTTACTAATTAAGTAAGTATTGTAAAATTTATCTGAGTCCTGTCAAAAGCTTGGCACTGTACTATAGTGTGTACTTCGCCTAGGGAAAAACTTTGTAACCTAAAACTTGCAAAAACTTCTGTAACACGCAGTACATGTTTTTAGTCCTATACTTTTTGCACCAAACAAAGTAATAGTAGGTACTATTTTTGTAATATCTTTCCGCTGTACTATACATTTGTCAAATCTTGTATTGTTAATGCTACCAAATGTTACCATAATAACTTTAGACCTTTTGCAAGAAACATACTCTTGAATTAGGGGGCAGTCCTCTTCTCAATGCCAAAGCAAGATCATCATTTTCCTTGAGGGAAATGGTTTTAGGTAGCATGGACTATCCTCTTAGTCATCCATCTACAGTTCATTTAACAAAAAACTAATCTCTTGCATATGCAATTTTACCACTGTTGAAAAAGGAGCGAAGGAATATAACGTTCATCTGGAAATTATAATGATTCTCCTTACTTTTTGCCTTAAACATGAAATACTTGCAAAGAAGCATCGTGGATGTTAGTCTTTAGCACTAGGAGATGATTTTCTTTCAAATTCGTAATGATAGAGAAAAAATTTAAATGAACCAATTACCATGAGGTTTGTTTCTATCTTTTGCAAAGACAAGAGCAACTGCATCAGAATGGGATCTTAGAATGCTGGTGAAATTTCTACCGTCACTGCCACCTTTGTACAAAAACTGGCTGCTCTCATCACCCACAATGACAGTTTCCGTGGGCATGGCATAATCTGTAACATAAAGGATGTAATTGCGCACAAAGTTAACTAACAAACTTAGGATGATCCAGAAAAACAAAGAACAGATGTGTTTTATGCATATTTTTGCACGCCCAAATTACTGTGCCTACTATATATTCACATAAAACTAGGAACCAACCACAAAACTACAGCCACCATCGACAACCCCAAACCTGCCTACTCAATTCCTATCATACCACAACCTTTTCTAATATTTCCAGCAGGGACAAGCTGAAGGTAAATATAGTTCCACAAAATCATTTGAAAAAAAAAAAAACTGAAAATTCTCATGCAACCTTAGCTGATGTATCAAAATAGGCACGGTTGACTAGATGTCTAAGGGCCTTATTTCTTCTCCAAAAGGAAAAAGTTAAAATGAACAGAATTTATAAAAAATATTAATGATAATAACATTGAGTAATACTCACCCAACTTTTCAACAGCAAGTTTCACATCAGTATCTTCATTCTGCAGCATTACCATATTGATATTAGTTATGAAACAGAGGATAGAAGTTGAAGATAAAGAAACACATTACATATCTAAGAAATCAGCAGAAAGCAGAACACCAGCTTACCCCAAACAATATAATACCAAGTGGTGCTGTGTAATCTGAAACAGTAGATACATAACTCCTGATATCCATCACGAATTTGTCAACCATTTTCGCCTGAGGTTCCTGATTTTAGTGAAGAACTTTTCTTGGTGAGTTTTCTATGTTATTTTGAACAGCAAAACATGCTTGTAAAAGTCCACATACTCAAAATAAATAACTTTGTTCATGTTTTTGTTCAAGAGATAACCAAGTCAATTATGCCTCGTTGTTTAAGGACTAGTTATAGTGTCATTTCCACATCAATAATGAAAGTCAAAGGAGGTGAATATCAATAATTGACATAGCTACCTTTCTAGATCGTAGTAGAGGGATAGCATCCACTTTCAGCCCGGGCACAAAGCCTACAGTCAACAAGATGCCAGAGTTTGCACCATCTATGGGTACCAGTTCATCATCAGCATTACTATTGGCATCCCCCCATTTTATCTACAAAAGTTATTATAATATAAAACGGAATAAGGATGTCTGCCTTTTGCCTTAAAACGCCTTCTAAGCAGAAAAGCAAAGAAGCGTTCGAACCTCTCTAAACTCATCACAATAGACATCTCTCCCTATGATTCCAGCAACCCGGGATACGATTACAGGAACCCCAGCCCCTAGTCTTTCCAGTATCTGCATCAATATATTTGCAAACCTCAGTATCACATAGGGTAACAAAAGAACTGATATATGATTAAATCAATTTTTTCTTTATTTTAAAGACGAGCCTAGTAATAGAAAATTTCTTACAAGTTGAGTAGTTTGCTTCAAATTCAGTACGCCACCAATATTGGCAATGACAAAATCCGGTCGAATCGGCTCTGACAGCACCTTTTCGAGAACTTCTACTGTAGCAATCTGTTTGTCACCACATAATTCCATCTTTCACGTAAGAAACATTTTTCAAGATAAAATTCCATCAGATCTCATTGAAAACCAAAAAAAGGAACTGAGAAGAATCCACGAAACGAGTTTGTTTCAACAGGATCAAATGCATAAGCTAAAATAGGTTCCCATTGTTTGGAGACAAAACAAGCACAATACAATCTACACTTAGAAAATGATTACTCTCGCATTCCCTTGAAATTAAGTTAAAATAAAAATTTTCTCAGTAAGAAAATCGAGATAAGAGAGGAACTGACATGAGAGGAAGGGTTGAGAGAGAAAGCAGACAGGAGCTTAGGGCGAGAAAGGATCCGATTGCAGACTATATTCCATGATTTGCTAACGCACGCAGCGTAGGAGAATGATCGAGCTGGTAATCTGGATAGTATGTTTTGGAGAAGATCCTCATTTATCAAAGCAAAACCTTTGATCGCCATTCTTTGTTCTTTCTTCTATTTCGATGATGCTGATGACTGCTTCTCGTACGATCGCATTTCAGGTTACTCAGCCTTTTGTACTGCACTGCAAAAACCAGGATCCGGGTCGGGCCCAACCCACCCGTTTCGAGTAGCCAGTACCGCTACCAGTTTGATTATCTTCCCAGACTTCAGTTTATGGCTTTGGAATTTATGATTAATTTATATTATGTACATAAATATACTCCCAACAATTTTCAGATTATTTGATGTTAGATATAAATTATTATTTTCCATATATAAATATATTAAAATAATGATTAACTTATCTTACAATTAGACATTGCATGTAAAAATGTATATATTAATTATTATAAGTTCCAACTTATATGTTATCTTATATAAACAATTTAAAGTTATGTTAATAAATTAATTATCGATTACCATAATTTATTTTAATTTGAAACTCTTATACTTAAAATATTATAAGATGTAATAAATATTAATGGTCACAAATAAATATAAGACACATTTTAATAAATATATATAGATAAATAAAAATTAAAAAATTTACGAAAATGTATAAATGTGAAGTGTAGCAAGACTAACATTCAATTCTATATTATTATTATTATATATAAATAATAAGAGTTACATAAAAGTAAAGTATTATCAAATGTAATTATTAATTTTAAATTATTGTTAAACATATTATAATTAATATTATTACGTGTAGTGTATACATTAATAATAATAAATTTTAATAATTTAATTTATATAAGTAAATAAATAAAAAATTAAAAAGATATTAATAATTATAGGACTCTCATAGCGGAAGAATACATGGAACGAAAATGAAGCTATATCAATAAGCTTCTATCATCAGTTCATGGCACAGACATTTTATGGCTCTAAAGCTTTTTCTACTAGGAACCTTTGTTTTGCTCCTCTCTTTCCCCCGAAAAATTTTCTGTTCGATTTTGCTAAAGCTACAGCTTTTGAAGTTTCTAAGCAATTCTGTTCATCCCATACTCATTTTAATTACTTCCTGGATAACCCACGTAGCTTCAACTCCGATTTGTATTATGCTTCTTTTATTGATCACTCCACCCACGAGGCACACTTATGTCAAGTACATGCCCAGTTACTCGTTTCGGGATTGCAGTTTAGCGGCTTCTTGATCACCAAATTGCTTAATGGAAGTTCAAATCTTGGAGAAATTTGTTATGCACGTAAGGTGTTTGATGATTTTCCATACCCAGATGTGTTCTCGTGGAATGCAATTATTAGGGGATATTCCCGGCACAATCTGTGTGATGATGTTCTTGAAATGTATTCTAGGATGCAGATGGACTGGACGGGTCCAGATTGCTTCACTTTTCCTCACGTTCTTAAAGCTTGCAGTGGACTTCGGGCATTTGAAATGGGTCGGCGAGTTCATGGACAAATATTCAGGAATGGTTTTGAATCGGATGTGTTCGTGCAGAATGGTCTTGTTGACTTTTATGCTAAATGTGGAAAGGTTGAGCTTGCTAGGACTGTGTTTGATGGGATATATGATAGAACAATTGTATCTTGGACTTCCATTATATCTGGTTATGCCCAGAATGGTGAGCCTGTGGAAGCTTTGAGGGTTTTTGGTCAAATGAGGAGAATGAACGTTAAACCAGATTGGATTACTCTTGTGAGTGTTCTAAGGGCTTACTCTGATTTGGAGGACTTGAAACATGGGAAAGCTATTTATGGATGTGTGGTTAAGTTGGGTCTTGAATCAGAACCTGATTTGCTCATTTCTCTCACGGCCATGTTCGCAAAATGTGGGCAAGTGGAGGTTGCAAGAAGTTTTTTTGATATGATGAAGGCACCAAATTTGATATTGTGGAATGCCATGATTTCCGGCTATGCAAAAAATGGTTATGCTGACAAAGCTGTTGAAATGTTCCGTGAAATTATTTTTAAGAACATTGAAGTAGATTCCATCACATTAAGATCTGCTATTTCAGCTTGTGCTCAAGTTGGGTCACTTGAACTAGCTAGATGGATGAGTGATTATATTAGTAAGAGTGAGCACAGAGCTGATATATTTGTGAATACAGCCCTCATTGATATGTACGTAAAATGTGGAAGTGTAGACTTGGCGCGCTTAATCTTTGATAGGACTCGTAAGAAAGATGTTGTGGTGTGGAGTGCCATGATTGTGGGGTACGGATTGCATGGGCGGGGTCGAGAAGCCATTGATCTTTACCAAGCAATGGAGCATGCTGGGGTTTGTCCCAATGATGTTACATTCATTGGGCTTCTCATGGCATGCAATCATTCAGGCCTTGTTAAAGAAGGGTGGCAGCTTTTTCATCGCATGAGAGATTATGGAATTGAGCCACGGCACCAGCATTATGCTTGTGTGGTTGATCTTCTTGGACGTGCTGGCTATCTGGATCAAGCTTATGATTTTATTACCAAAATGCCAATTGAGCCTGGTGTAACAGTGTGGGGAGCACTTTTAAGTGCATCCAAGATCCATCGCCACGTGATGTTGGGAGAATATGCTGCCGAACAACTCTTCTTGCTAGACCCATATAACACAGGCCATTATGTTCAACTCTCAAATCTCTATGCTTCAGCTCGTTTGTGGGACCGTGTTGCAAAGGTGCGAGTGTTGATGAAGGAGAAAGGATTGAATAAGGACCTGAGCTATAGCATGATTGAAATAAACGGAAAACTTCAGGCATTTCGTGTGGGAGACAAGACACATCCACAATCTAAGGAGGTGTATGAGGAGCTTGAATCACTGGAGAGAAGGTTGAAGCAGGCTGGATTTATGCTGCAAACAGATTCATCCCTGCATGATTTGGACGATGAAGAGACAGTGGAACAACTGTGCAATCACAGTGAGAGGCTAGCAATTGCTTATGGGCTTATAAGTACAGCTCCTGGAACTACACTAAGAATAACAAAGAATCTAAGGGCATGTGTGAACTGCCACTCAGCTACCAAACTGATATCAAAGCTTGTGAACAGGGAGATTGTTGTGAGAGATGCAAACCGCTTTCATCATTTTACGGATGGAGTATGTTCTTGTGGAGATTACTGGTGAGAAGGCTGGCTAGTCCTTGCCTATGATCTTGTTGATTAGCATCTTTGTCTGATTGTCCTCGTTTTGTAGCTTTTTTCTGTACGGTTACTGTATAAAAGAAAGTGAGTTACAAAGTTCCATCTTTGTAGGATTCTTGATAAGCAGAGATCACAAAATATTTTGTATTATAGTCACCAAGGGGTTATAAAACTACTCAAAACTGATGAAGAATAGTCTTTATTGACATAAACTCAAGATCTTAACTGCTAATTTTGGTTCAGTTGTTGGTCATTCTTCCCAAGCATATTTAACTGCCAGTTTCTTCTTCCCTGCTATGTACAATCTACTTCATGTGGTAAGACTCTTAATAATTTTCTATGATGATCACATTTACTTCAATTATCCCTTCTTCCTTCACAAACTGATCCTTTTAAAGAACTGTGTTTTTTCACATTGATTTCATGAGGATGTGGAATGGAATATTTTTCTGTGCTTCTTTAAGTCCTCATTTTAACTTCTTTTAATACATTTCCAAGCAAGTGTTCGAACAAAATATCAGAAGTTAGTGACTTATACATTTAAAATAAAATGAAGCTTTATGCAAACATGAGATTTTACCAGAGTTGGAGAATCCCCATCTTCTCAAGGCCTCCACTGCTGTCAAAGAGTTTAGATTAGCTTGGTAGAGTGATTGCCTCTTGTTTTATTTTTTGGTGGTGCGATTACTTTTTTGTATATTTTATAAGTCCTCTGACAAATGAGCAGCCATGGGTTATCATCCCATCGTGCAATCAAGGTTGCAGAACTTTTCTATCAAAACGACGGGTAGATTGGCTTAGATGAATGGTCAAGATATCTAGGAACATTGGACATGCCTTGTCTCAGTTTGTATGTATAATTGGATCAGTCTGCATGTCAAGGCTTTGGCATACTACTTAAATCAAAATTGTTGTTGCAATTGGATCAGTTTGTATATAATCTAAGTGATTTCTCTCTACAGGTAATTTATCAACTTTGTCGTTTTTGGTTTGATGTAGATCGGTACTTTTATATGTTCGGTATTGTTGTGTTGTCATAGATGCGGAGAAGATACAGGCTGCACCAATTAAGAAGCTGTAAGCTTTCTTTGACTTTGTGGTGCATTTAGCATATATGTATTCTATGGTTTTGATTATGCATTTTCTTATTGCTTCTTCGATAGTACATGGCTAATCCTACTGCTCATCGAAAGTTAATCATTTTAAGTTCAAGCTTCGGATTATATGGTTACCATCTCCAGGTCAAAGTATTAGTTTTTACTAGCATTTCCTCTGCTTCAACTGATTAAGGCAACTGTTTTCTAATCTTTCAAGAGATCAATCTCATAGATGATATTCGACTCAGAGTCCAGTTTCTTTGGTTTCGCTCCCATGATTCCTCCAAGAGTGGAAACAAGAAGCATTGGAGAATGTACATTGGGTCGAAATGAAATCTACTACCATTCTTATGTTTGTTGTATGTCTAATAGGGTCTCATACTCAAGAAAGATGAGATTTGATTGTCTTTTTTCTTATTTTAGATGTCAAATGCTCAATTCTAATTAATTATGTTGATTATTCAAGTTCAAGCTTTACTTCAATTCTGTTTAAAAACTTAAGTGCTGTTTATTATTTATTATCTTCTTAGGTACTTGTATATATATATGGCTATTAGAAAACATGTAAATGTCATCTAACGTTTAAGATTTGTTATGAATATAATATATTCTTATTATATAAAAAGAAAAAAGAACTTACATATCTTTTTCTTTTTTGTTGCTTTTTTCATATAAATAAAGATGTTAAGTATGTCAATTCAAAATAATAAAAAAAAACATAATTTCTAGTTTTTGTAGTTTACTAAATGAAATATGAACAGCTTTCAACCCTTATTAACTGTCAATTCTCTTGTGTAGAAGAAGTTTACTTTCTTATATGGAATATTCAGCTTTTTAATTTGTTTTAATAACAAAAACTGCAATTTATTTTTTTAAAAAAAAAAACTTATAAAAGTCAATTAAATCCACGGCTATGACGACCGAGGTTTGACTTAGAAATGATGGATTTTCAACCGCTTGATTACAAGACCAAGGGACAATCTCGAATCCATTCATCCTTGCGCTGACCCATCGCCGAACTTTGAGACTTAGAGAGAGGGCCACATAATCCTACAAAGCTCTCCCAGCTCTTCTGCAGAAAATTTGATTTGTCGCCTTTTGTAGTAAAAGTTCTTTTATTTCCCAATCAGGGCCAAAATGTTTTCGAATGTGCAAAAAGCAGCTGATAAAGCCCGGCTATTTCTTCAGAACATCACGCTTGCAGCACTGAAATTTCAGAAGCAGATACATATGGCCAAAGACAGTAGTCCAAAAGTGCAGGCTGTGTATGAACTCTGCAAAGAGAGCTTTACCCCATCGGCGGCGCCTCTTGCCTCTTCTCAAGTTATCCAGAAGCTCTGCTCTCTCTTGGGTATTTCTCCTTTTTCATTTTTAGTCGCATTTGGAATCCCGGAAAGAAATGTTTCTCTCGCTGTTTTCTCGTGCTTTGAGCTAATTTTTCTAGATTTTATGCGATGATTTCTGCTCGTGGATTTTGTGAATTCTGGGAAGTTGGATGTTGCTTTGCTTTATTTCGAAGCTGGAAATGCTTGATTGTTGATGTTTTGGATTTAATGGATGCCTACATTAGTCTGATTATGCATGCATGTAGAGATTAGGTTGCGAAGTGGAATCTCTGAGAATTCCGTTGAGGATTTTTTGCTTTTTAACCTTTTTTATTAGAATATTCCTGCGAGGGGACAGAATGTATATGATGAAATTTGGTGATCTTTGAACTTTGAACCATGGAATGGAAGCTTCAAGTCCCGGCTAACCCCGTTCAAAATATGAACTGGGATGGCAGCACGATGAAGTGTATGATGCAATAACTGCTGCATGCTGATAACTGCCGCATGCTGTTTGGATTTGACTGACTCATAGCTTGGATGCTAGCAGTAGCTGATGGCTTCATTCTGATTTGATCTTTAAGAGCTATTAAAAATCTCCATATTTGTTTATGTTATTTATTTAGGATAGACACGTGTTGGCTGTGTTTTCGTATAAAGGGTGTATTGATAACTAGACAGACATGAGAAAATAAATCTGGAAGATACACTTTTATTGGGAATTTTATACCATAGAGACCATTTTAGAATTCTTGATTTCAATTGGATAAGATCAACTTGACATTTAAGTTTAGAAGGATTAGTGATGGTAGATTCGGAAACTAGATGGATGGCGTAAATCTGCAGATGCAGAAGTCACCATCCACGACCATTTACATTGACAGTTATAGCATTATTTTGAATGAGTAAATATCAATTCAATCTGCAGTTCCCGTTGATGACCAAGCATCCTACTATATGATTTTCTCTTTTTTGAATAGAAACATAGCTCAGAAACTGAAGCATCATTGATGCAAAGTTTTGCTATGTACTTATGGTATATTATTGATGATCACCAATTTGCAGACACATTTTGCCCTGCTGATGTGGGGCTTAAAGAGAAGACTACAGATGATGATAGAGGACATGGATTTGGAGTTAACCAACTGAACAGGGTAGCTCGATGGGCCCAACCAATTACATACTTGAACATCCATGAATGCAATAGTTTTACGGTATGTTATGCAGCTTGTCAAAAGGGTTTCCTTGATCTTCAGTTCATGAATCATGACCACTTCTAAGTGGTCTTCTAAGCCTGAAATATTTTCAGCATTTTGTGCTTCTTGTTCATGTCTATCATGTCCATATGTTTTGCTACAATCAGAAGCTTTATCTCGTTAAATATCTAGGAAAACTGCCTTTAGTATAACTGCATTGCTGCAGCTAATGGTATAGTTTGAAACTTTTACTTCTTTCCTGGACTTGTAGGAAAGCTTCCTCTCTCTACATGCTTACAGTACACTTAGGCCATGCTATAAGTTGAAAAATAAGATATAAAAATTTGAACTTCTTACTCTTCAAAGAGGTTTGATTATACTTTTTTGTTACGGTAATAAAGCAAATGATTTACACGCAGATGTGTATGTTCTGTTTTCCTACTTCCTCGGTTATACCATTGCATGACCATCCTCGGATGACTGTTTTTAGTAAAGTTCTCTATGGCTCTCTGCATGTCAAAGCCTATGATTGGGTTGAACCTGCATGTATCAAAGAAAACAAAGCTCCTGGTCATCTTCCAGGTTTGATTCTTTACACTTAAAACTTGCACCTTGATAATTTATGAGAAAAACATAAACTGAAAGGAAGCTTTATTATGGCTTTTCCTGATAGCATGTTATGCAAAAGTTTAATGAATATTTGATAATGGAACATGTAAAATACTTAAATTCTTCAAATTGGTTGCTTAATCGAGATAGCTAGTACTGATGAGTTTCTGGAATATTTATTCTGTGATTCAACCTTTTATGGTCTTAAAAGTTGCCAACTTGTTGGCTTAGTTGCAACAGTGTAAACATCTATGGGCCTAATATCAAGCAGTTGAATGATAGTTACACCATAACTACATGTTTCAACTCAGACCTAGCATGTCAAAACAACTGAGGTCATACTGGTACTTAATGGGTTTTTACCGAATTGATAGGGTTGATGGAAAATGAGGGCATGTCCCTTCCACTGCACTTTCTTGGACATGCTGTAATTCAACTACTGTCATTAATTATATATATCTCTATATAAAGCTCTAATAAGCAATCATATAGCTATTCAAGTGATTATAGTAGAAGTATAGTTTCATGAATTGACTATATTCTTGGGAATGGGAAAGATAGCAAACAGTTCTGTTGGCTCGTCCATTAGCTTACCCTGTCAAAATTTTGAAGGTGAATAAGCAAGAAACTTAATATTTAAATTTCATTTGGCAGTCAGATTGGCTAAGTTAACTGTTGATAAAGTTCTAGCTGCACCATGTGCTACTTCAGTTTTGTATCCAAACAGCGGAGGAAATTTGCATTGTTTCACTGCAGTCACACCTTGTGCTGTGCTCGACATTCTCTCACCTCCTTATAGAGAAGATGTGGGTAGAAAATGTTCTTACTACACTGACTATCCTTACTCAGCCTTCTGTAAGTGACTTTTCCACTATATTTCATTCTTGGCTCCCGGATATTATTTATATTTTCCGCAAATATACTATAATTTTTCTTGGTAAACTTGTTACAAAAATTTTTGGTTCATCTAATACAGCAACAGGAAATGAAGCTGAGAAAATTATAGGAAACGAGGATGACTATGCCTGGCTATTGGAGATAGATACACCAGACTATCTTTATATGCGGCAGGGAGTATACATTGGTCCAGTTATTCGCATCTAGTGCAAATGTATGATGATTGCTAGAGCTTCTGTTGCTTTTCAACATAGTTTTTGAGCAGTCGAAATGGTGATGCTTTTGTTCAATTGCTTGACAGTTTTAAGAGAGAAATGATCAAGACGCCAGACCAGAACAATGAGCGTTCAATAGTGGTTCACTTATACTCAGAGGAAAGTTGCTGACAAGTATATCGAATGGACTAATTTTGTTCATGAATCTGTAACCTGAAACTTTTTCTTTTTTGAGAGAGAGAGAAACTAATTTTTAGTTGTATAATCCATCTTAATCTTCAATAGTTTTATATATCCATTGGCTATTTTCTTGCTAGAATATGGTCTCGCCACAGGATCCTATCTTGTGACCTCGGATTACCAATTTCACAAAAACTATTTTTAGTTATTGAAATGAATAGATAAATTACAATTTCATATTAGTGAGTTTGGTCTGTAAATTTTTTTAATAATTTAGTACTCTCAAGTTTTTTTTTCTTAAAAAAATTTGATTTACAACAATTCTGGATTTCTAAATATAAGTATATACGATTTTTTAAGTTTAATAAATTAGAATTACACCCATAAAAAGCATTTATAAGAAAATAAGTTAATAGTCAATAGGTTTTGCTCAACATTCTTATTCAAAGACAACAATTCAAAGACAATGCAAATTCATACCTTCCAACTTATACTTTCTACAGCAAAACATGCTTATTCAAAGACAACATTTCTTTGACCTCATGGTTCTACAACATAATCGACTAGGTCGCACTCCTCTCCGAGAAGCTCAATCACTCTGCATTGGGGGAAAAAAAAAAAAGAAAGAAAAAACTTTTTGACCTGTAACTCAGTCCTTGTGTTTTCTTATGGTTGGTTAGTTCGGTAAAGACAGTTGAGCTTTCCCTCTTTTCTCTATGGTGATCTGAAAGCTTCACCAGCAAAACGTACATCTCTGAGCTCCTCTTCAATGCGCAGGAGCTGCAACCAAATTGAGTCATCAAAAATGAAATACTCTATCTCAAGTTTATCACATTGAAGGCACAAAGAGTGATCATAACCAAATACCAAAAATAAATCTGATATTCCTAGTAAAGATCTTATTAAGTTCTTCATGACTCAGGCTTGATCTAACTACCAAAATTCCCAGAGTTTAAAATTTATTACTCAAAATTCTTGAACAATGCGCCAACAAATACTGAGATAATAAAATTTTAGAATATGGCTCTTTGAGACTGAGTAATCTACTTGAACACAAAAGACCAGAATGTCACAATGGAAATCTAGTTCCATTAATGGGAAACTGCTGTGCTATAAAACTTCCCTTTTAGGTTCTCCCTCTCCGAACTTTTTTTTTTGAAACATAAAGTGTGATTCCTCTACTTCCACACCACCCAGAAGATAGAGAGTGGAATTATGGCTGGTTCTCCCTCTCCAAACTTGTTAGTAACAATTAACAAGAAAGAGCATGCTATAGGCAATAGATGGTTTAGAGTTCTAATATTCTAGGTTCGAGAGAAACATAATGACTCTTGAAAGGAAAAGGGCATTAAATTCTTAAAAGCTCTAAATTACCTGGTTATACTTGGCCAATCGCTCACTTCGGCAAGGAGCTCCAGTCTTGATCTGCAGAACAAGAAATGCATTTATCAATTCCATAAAATTAAGAATTACTCAGTGCAGAGTTTTAGGGATATCAGCTAATAAACCTGTCCACTAGCCAAACCAACTGAAAGATCAGCAATAAAGTTATCCTCAGTTTCACCACTCCTGTGGCTGACCATGACACCCCAGCCTGCAGCTTTCGAGTCGAGAGCTGCTTGTATGGATTCAGTTACTGAGCCAATCTGGTTAACCTGTAATATATTAAATAATCACGAAAAAGACAAATAAATAAAAGCTGATTGCAGCATGAATGTCAAGTGAAATTTAGCACATAGATTGTGACACTTTACCTTTAGAAGCAAGCCATTGCATGCCTTTTTCTCAATGGCTTCAGCTATTCTTTTTGGATTTGTCACCAATAAATCATCTCCTACAAGTTGGATATCCACCGAAGATTGCAATGAAGCCCATGAGCTCCAGTCATCTTGGTCAAAGGGATCTTCAATAGAGACAATTGGAAATTCTTTGACAAAATCTTTGTAAAGTTCACCGAGGCTCTGAGCTGAAAGAATGTGAGCTCTATCATTTGGTTGTTTTTTAAAGTTCAGATCATATTTCCCATCCTTAGTGAAAAACTCTGAAGCAGCAACATCCATTCCTATTTTGATCTGCAAATTGTTGAGTAGCATAAGCAAAACTGGGCCTCAATAAAAGGGGAACGAAATGAATGGTTTACTACCTTTCCGGTGTAACCAGCCTTTTCAATTGCATCCATAAGCAAAACCAGTCCCTCCCTGTTATCCTGAACATTAGGAGCAAATCCTCCTTCATCCCCTACATTGCAAGCATCCTGACCATATTTTGCCTTGATGATTCCCTTCAGTATGTGATACACTGCAACCACAAAGGGAGGGAAAAGGTGTTAGATAACCCATCTCAACACTGATATTACACTGCATAAATATTCATATGATCCTAATAGCAGAAGCTGCAGCTAAACTTTAATAGTTGAAATCTGATAAATAATATGAACTCCCACGATTTCAGTTACAAATCATAGAAACTATACAAAATTTTATTCTTAATGGCCACATAAATGAAAAGAAAATGAAGAAAACAGGGAATTGGTATTTATTTACCAACAATTAGAATATTAACTAGCGAAACAAACAATACAGAATATGCACTGTCTAGAAACAAAAGAGATCAGTAGAAGCAGCTGACCTTCACTTCCCATTCGCAGTGCCTCCGCAAATGAGGCTGCGCCAACTGGTAGTATCATAAATTCCTGCATGGCCAGATTATTTCCAGCATGACTGCCTCCATTTATCACATTGAGTGCTGGAACCGGCATAACTAGCTCCTTTGTACCAGACAATTCTTGGATATGCTTGTACAAAGGCACTCCTTTTGCTCCTGCACCTGCTCTGCACACACTCAAGGATACTCCCAATATTGCATTGGCACCAAGTTTTGATTTGTTTGGTGTTCCATCAATTTCCAACATAATCGCATCTATATCAGCTTGATTCCTTTCAGAAACAGAAGTAAATGAAGGAGCATCAGAACCACTTGATCTTTCTTGCAAAAGAAAGCATCCTCTTGTACACAGAAAACAGACAAGTAAACAAATTGATAGTCTGCTAAGCACAATGCTGCAGTTTCTCACAATGGTTCACTTGCGGGCAAAGAGTTAAATAGGCTGTGATATAATCAAATTTACTGAAATCTTCAAAAAAAAAAAAAAAAAACTATTTACATGCCCGTTATTTGTTTCGTATTGCTCCAAAATCCACACAAATCTCAACACTTTGATCTGCTATTGAAGCGAAATCATTTAACTGTCTAATTAATTGAAAAAACAGAAAGAAAACATAAATATTTTCTTCCCACGCATTTCTTTCTGCTCAAACAAGCATATCCCAGAAGCAAATCCAAGAAGATTAAAATTGGAGCTTAAGGACTACAAAGCTTGAAAAACATAAACATGGTCAAGAATCCAACATCCATTTCATTTTCATTGACTGTACCTTACATCAACTCCAATAAGCTTAGGACCCAGAACTTGATTGATGTTCTTGACGGCCTGCGACACACCTTTACCCCCAAACACATTTTTATCCCCATCCCTGAGCTCAAGCGCCTCGTAGATCCCAGTGGAAGCCCCACTCGGAACAGCCGATCGGTAGACTCCATCGGTTATCAGATCAACCTCCACCGTCGGATTCCCTCTGCTATCCACGATCTGCCTCGCCTTTATCCCCTTCACCTTGCACTCTCCCGCAGTTCTTACCGAAGAAGGCGCCGTCGCCACCGAGCATTGCACCTTCCCCGGTCGGAACCTCAACGAAGGCCTTGCCGCAGTTGGAGGAGCAAAAGGCTGAGGGTTCGAGAGGAATGGCTTTTGAAGGAGATTGTTTCGGGTGGCTAAGGCCATGACTGTCGTATGCTTTTTCTTTTTTTCCTTACCAAACAGAGAGAAGGAAATTTGGGTAGTGTTTGGGAGGAGGGAAAAATGGAGAAAAAGTAAGGCGTTTTGGCGGGTTAGAAATAAAAAGGAAGGTTGCGCGTCGGAAAGTCCGCCACTAAGCGATGAAAGCAGAGAGGTGTCGAGCTGTTCGTTGTTCAGAACTTTGGGTTTTGGTGGTAGTTGGGGAAGACGATAAAATCTTCTCCTTTTATATGCAAAAGGTTACTGCTGGTTCGAGGGTAGATAGAGGTGCATCTCAAGTTTTGTCTGTAGGCAGGTCCCCCCGCCTACCACCTTCGTCATGTGCAAAAATGACATTTGCACACAGTGAAGAAAGTATGAAAATGGCGAAAAGCCATGCAGTGAAGCGAAAATTACAAAATTGCCATTGCTTTCACAGTCAAACTCAGAATAAAGTTAAGACCTCTATTAAATCACGCCTATTTGAATTCATTCTGTATCTCCTCTTGCTCCCACGACGTCGTTTTATGGTTCCATCTCAATCGCAGTTCGTCTTTTTCTCGTCCCTTTCAGGGTTGGCAATGGCGTCCAAGTGAGATTCAAATTTCTAGTCTGCTCTCGTTATCGATTCTTCGAGATTGAACTTATTCCCCCTCAACACTGAAGGTCCTCTGGTCAGCGATGCCGCAAGGTTGGGGTTGAGGGCTGAGGACCGTTTAAGGAATTCGGAGTGGTGGAAGGAAACCTAGTGAGAAATCTCTCTGTTTCATTTCAACAAACAACTTCTCCGCATGGCGTACGATTTCTAAGGAGTTCTTCTATTTGCTTTGCTACTATTTGGAGACTGTTTCACAAAAATGTGACTCCCTTAAACGTTATTCATGATATGCGTTATATTGTGTTTGAGATTTCTTCTGCCTCGTGTTTGATTGCAGAGAAAATGACTGGGAATTGTGTTTGTTAATAATTTTGAAATGCAGATTGATTGTTGCTTTAGCTTGTTTTAAATTTTCTGGGTTTTTGGCGTACAGGGGAGCTGTCAAATTGGAGCTTCGTTGCCCTAAAAAGGTCGACGGAATTGCAGTTGACCCGGAACCCGACTGGAATTTCAGCACTTTGTTATCAGAGATTAATTCATTGGAAGAGAAGCTCAGTGTCTCTTCCAAGTTCCCTTTGGCCTTTGCCAAAACAAAATCTAGGTAGTTTTTCTTCTTATGGGTTCCCCTCTAATTATTTTTTGAAATATTTTCTTTTGAAATAGCTTTTCTCCCTCTAATTATGTATTTACTCACTGTCTGAATTCTGGCTTGAGGGGGGATGGTATGTTTTGATGTTTTTTTAATCTTGATATTCTGTTCATATTTAATGGTTGTTTTTGTTTAGAGATATTTATCATGGGAAGAGCATTGAGAGAAATTCGAGGGCCTTTATAATGCGGGTTTCAGTTGATGAGATGGAGGAAAGTAGCCAGAGTTTAACTGTGGCAAAGCGGTTCCATTGTGATGATATATACTTGAGGTATATGCACCTACTAGTGTTAAATCAACTAAAAACTGTTGACTGTTTCTGTAAATTTTCTTGTATAATGCTTTAGCTTTCATTTATTGCGTGATGATTATTGTGGACCTGCAACTGATTGAAGTTCCACCTTGAATGGCTATCTTATGTCAGTGACGATTCTGAGGATGAATCACTTTTTGAACTCCAATCTGATTTGATGAATGAAGTGGTAGCAGAGGAAGGTGCTTTATATGAAGTAAACTATGAGCATCATATTGACATTAAGGTGCATAAAATGCCTCATAGTTATTTAGGAGTGTGAATGTGTGTGAATGCTGATAAACTTTTTCCACGGTCACTGGTGTTTAATTATTTCCCTTTGTGTAGTAATGATGTTTCTCTTTATTAACAGGAGGAAATTAGGATCCAAGTTTCAGCATTTGAAACAGATATAATTAAAGAAATTGAAACTTCTAATTCTGCCTTTGCTCGAGTTGAAAAATATAAAGAAGCAAGGCGGGAGATGGACAGGAAACTAGATCTTCAATACCAACGAAAAGTGTAAGCTTGTGTTCTTCTACTTTTTATGCACAATTTTAACCATAAAACAAGGCTGATCTATGAAATTTCTGATTCAGAAATGGACTTTATAGTGTGAGATTCTGTTTTTACATCTTTAATTTTAACCTACAGAGAGTGTTGATTGTTACTTAACATAACTTTCTATTCATTCGAAATTTTTAGACACTGTGAACATCTGGAAACTCACCACAATAACAGTATGACAAAGCAAAATCCTTCTAGTTGCTACTTGCTAGTGGTCAACTTAAAAATTCGGATTGCTTTCTTTGATTTCATTGTGACTGTTTATTCAGAATGACAATGACTATAAGATAGACATATTTTGAAGCTTAACTATCTAAAAAATGTGCAGACTATTAAGTTGTCAACCTTCAGAATAATTTAACCAAACAAGCTGAAGAGGGTTGTAGGATGTGAACATTTTTCTTCAGGTTGATGAAGCTTTTGAAATGTGAATGTTTTGTGCATTATTGTTCCCTTCCTTGTTCTCTACTGTTAAGTTAATTAAAATCACGGAAAACTTTTTATGATGTTTTCTTGTAATTGCTTTAGTGCAGAAGCACTGGACAACCACTTGACTGCAGTGCAGCGGGACCATGAACTCAAATCACAAATAGAAGAAAGGAGAATAAGGAGTGATGCAGCTTATGAAGAGGCCAAGAGAAGGGAGAAGGCTCTTCAAGAAGAGAAACTACGCCAAGAGAAAGTTAAAGCAGAGGCAGAGGTCTGTTGGTGTGTCTTTTCCTCTTTGTTAATACTGTTCTGGTAACTTCAGATATAGTATTTTTAGTCTGGGTTTACAGGGCGTCTGTTGGCATGGTTTCTGGTGCAACAAAAGAGTTGCTTTCTGCATTCCTTGGCTTATTGGCCAACTGGTTTTGTCCTGACATTAGGTTCCCTTTTTTCCTGGTAATTTTCAGATTTTAGATAGGCCTGAATACTATTTTAGAACTAGTTTGTTACTATACTTGGATAATGGACAATAATAAGTTTGTTCCAAGTATAATTTATTGGCACCGGAACTCTTCCCCCCCCACCATTTTCGCCGGTGCTGCATCCGCTTTCTGCCCTTCACTCTTTGCAACACCAGCATTTTTGGGTCCTAGGGTTTTCCAGCCCAAGAAAGTTAATCAAGGTTATGCAAGAAAAAGAAGTTCCAGCCTTCCAGGACACTTGATCATTAAAATAATTTATAGAAGTAGAGATATAGGTGACCAAACAAGTAGCAAAGCATGACTCACCCCCTCCAATGGAAAGAAGAAATAGGAATCATCACCCTCCCCACAACCCGTGGGTATTGGTGGGGGTTAGAATTTGTTTGTTTCATGACAGAATTTTTGGCCTCCCTACCTATAATTGCAGATCCTTTTAGTTTTACATGTTTAAAATTCTCATATGTTCACACAGATGCCTCCTTTTTGGAATGAATCATATTGATTATCAGCAATGGTTTCTCAGTAATTTTAAAGAAAAAAGTATATGCTGAAGATGCAGGCTAAACTCAGAGCTGAGGAGGCAAAAAGAGTAGCCCTGGAAGCTGAGAAAAAAGCAGCAAAAGAAGCTGCAGAAAGGGAAGCTGCTGAAGCCTCAAAAAGGATTGCTGGTGGTGTGCCACCCTTAGAAGGTGACAGTTCAGAAGCTGTCAATGCTCCACCCAAGGGATCCGGATCAAAGAAACCACAATTGGCAGGTTTGAATTTTTCAAAACTGTGCTTTTTCTTTTTCTTTCTTTTTTGCTTGCAAGGCCATTGTATAGAGCACTCAACTCTGGCCAAGAGTCGTAGCAAAATCCTCATTGAAAAGGTTGGGAAGTATCAATCACCTGTACTGAAGGTGATTCAAAACTGTGCTTTTGGTCTATTTGATTTGCCATCAATTTCTTCTTTGTGGTTGCTATTATTTGTTCTTCTTTGTGGTTGCTATCATTTGTTCTTCTTTGTGCTATCAATATGTCCATATCTGATTTTCCCTTGGAATCAGGTCCTTTGATCCTTTTTCTCATCAGGAAATTGAATCAGACATCCTGGAAAAATACACCAACATTTTGTGTCCCTTTCTGAAGTTTCCAGTGGCCAACTTGTCTCAGGTAATCTGCTGAGGTCTGCAGAAAATGCTCTGAAACTGGAAGAGCAAAGACAACAGAAGCTGAAAGAGTTAGATGAAGTAAACAAATCACTGAAATCATGTTCAAATGAGGTATTTTCTTTGGTGTGTCTTGAATATTTTATTTAAAACAAGAGTTTTTGTGTTTATACATCTAAAATTAATATATTCAATTTATTATTTTCAGTTTCCATTATCATGTTGTATTTTGCCATATTGTGGTAAAATGTCTGGATTATGAATTTTTTCTTTTAATGCTGATTTCTTTACTTTGTATCCATTTTTCATGTGGTGTTATTATTTTTAGGATTTTAGCAGCTTTGAAAGGCACATTGGCAGGTTGGTTAGGCAAATAAGGGGGACAAGAGATAATGTCAGGTAAGGTGTATGTCTTCTATGTTGTAGCTCATTCGTTAGAAAGATCTAGTTTTGGTGTTTTCTGTAATAGATTTCATTGTGACTTAGTTATTGCTCTCAAGTTTCATGTCCAAGAGCACTTGATGTTGTCTACTAACATTGAATGGTTTTCACAACTTCCTTTTAGAGAAGCCATCACAACATAAATTTAGCTATGCAGATAATTTTATGTTTTAACTTTGTCAAGATTTGACATTAATCATTTTAATGACCTTCCTTTTGTTGACTTACAGTAATATTAACTAATTTTAGTTTTGTATTACTCTTGCAGTGGAAAAGCGAGTGAAATTATTAAGATTTTAAACAATCCTCGCTGTCCCCAATCCATCAGCGTCGCAGCTTTTGTAAAGAAGGTAATTGAGCCTATAGCATTTGCCATATAAGCTCTGGCTTTTTAGATTCTTTTAGTCAACAGAGAGAATGGCAGAGATTAGATGAAAGAGAATTTGTTCAATCTCTTCTTAGATTCTTTGCGAAAATGTGGAGTTTTGATTTATTGCGAAAATGGAGAATTTCATTACACAGGATCAAAGGACATATGGATCCTACAGGAATAAAATGTAGTCTGAAGTTCATTTGATTATATGAAATTTATGTAGAAGCTATTTCGCACTACGTTTCCTACTTGCATAATTACTTTTTACAGGATAGGGGAATAGGAAACCAAACTAAAGAAACTGCTGTCATTACTCATTACTAATATGGACATTTCAGGTTGTTTCTCACTGTGAAGCCCCAGATAATGCACCCTTTGCAAGCAGCTACGTCATTGTTCTTGTTACATCACAGGTACTCCTATGGACTTGCCCTCATTCCCCCTGCTCCCATCAATTGCCCAGCTGCTCTGCATTTTAATTTTGGGTCTGTATATACGGAAGAAATAAATGTAATCCTAATAGCTAAGCTTCCTATGGTGCGCTAACCCCCTTCCATGGCTTATGCCTAGCAGACAATTGAATGAAGAAAACAAGACTCCATGTGAAGGGCTGTCATCTGCAATGGGATTCTATTTTTCATTTTATAAAAGGAGAGTAACTTGAAGTTCAGATTTAGGAATTTGGCCAATAGCCCAATTAAGTGTTCCTCTTTGTCTCTGAGCTCCAGGTTCAATTCACCTTAGTTTGGGTCAACTGAAGTTTATTTCTCAAAAAGGTTCTACAGAAAATTGTCATTCATGTTTATCAAAAACAACAAATAAGAGAAAAATTTGCTTTCGATAAGTTAATTCAGGGTGATTGAATCAGCAATTGGAGGATTTGTGTCTTGATGGTTAAATCTAGTTATTTGACAGTTTATAGAACTAACTAGGGAGTGAAAATAGTAGTATAATGCGTTATTTTCTTACTTATGGAGGAGAAGATACCTCAAATACGTGGATTTATGCTAACCATTTGTTGATATATGTGAATAACCTGTTTTCTCAGTTTCCACATGCCATGGATCTTCTTCTTGCTGAGTTTCATGGAGCTTGCATTTACACAGTCCCTAAACATATAGTCTACAAAAAGGTAATACGTTGTCCAACTGCTGTACAATATTTATCATTATCAATGTCTTCAAAAATGCACGAAACTAATAGTTGCATTGATCTATTTTTCTTTTTTACAAGAAAAATTAAAAGCTTGTTCTTTGTGCTGAATGTGTAATATGGACTCTAAACAATTTTGTGCAATCCAGTCAGAGTTTGAATCAAAAGAGGCTTACTACAAAGCCATTGGATACCGTGAAAATGATGGGCAGATTGAGAGTACCAACGATTACCTGAAACGCCTGGAATCTTACATGAAGCTCTATGGAGCACTTGTCCAGGTTCACCACTATTCATGGACAACAAATTATGTGGATAACGTTGCAACTACAGCGATCCAGAAGCTAATTTTTTTTAATTAATTTTCACTTGACCAATACTGCATATTTTTGCAGGCAGAAGTTAATGGCATCAGAAACCTTCATGGCCTTGAAGCAGGTTGGGCATGGCTTGCAAGGTTTTTAAACACAGCTCCAGCTAACATGTATACTGCTGTTGCTTTGAATACATTCCTGCAAGTAAGTGGATACAGATACTCTCCTGTCTCAGTTGATACCATACTTCATTCTTTGGAATTCTTTGAATTAATTTTATTTAAAAAGGAACATCTACGATTTGTAGATGGCAGGTTTCGGTCTTTTCAGAAAGTACAAATCTCAATTCAATAAGATTTTGGAGATTATCTCCGGGAACTTCTTGAGTGCATTGAAAGCAAGAGAAGAGCCAGGGTTAAAACCGGTGATTGCAGAGATCCAGGCTTACCTAGAAGACAAGAAATTCATTATCGAGCCGGAAGGAAGAAGCCTGCAAAACTATTTGCTGTCGAGCGTTATGGTGCCTTCCGAGTCAGACTACTAAAAATCATATCCTTGAGGAGAGAATTCTGATTGAATAGATATAAATCATTTACTGTTATTCGCTGTCTTTGTAGATCATTTGCTCTGATGTTTTTCGTTTAGATCATTTACTGTCTCTGTACTCGTCTTAAATAGGCCCCTCTTGGGTTATCTTACCAGAACACATACATCAATATATACACCACCAAAATTTCTTTACATTTTTCAAAACTAAAAGTACATACTTTATTAATTATGTGATATATATATATATACACACATTTATCTATCATAAACAATATGGCTTTAACGGTTACATGGAATTAGTCATGATTGTTCATTTTTACAGTTCAATACATTTGAATTTTTCATAATTAACCATTCTCTGTATCATCTTTTGGTAAATATTTATGTTTACAGTGAAGCAGATTTTACCAAATTAACTCAAAAATTATCTGTAAATTACACTTTATTTATTTATTTATTAATAGACAACAAATTCCACCTAATTTTCTCCCAATAAAATCCTTTTTCAATATTTAAATTTATCACCACCCTAAATTTTTTTTAAAAAAAAAAAAGCAAAATTTTTTTTAAAAAAATCAATAAATAATTAAAGAGGAACACGATTTTTTAAAAAGAGAAAAAATAATAATAATAAAGGAAGAAAAAGAAGAAGAAGAAGAACATGGCTCGAATCAGCCATGTCGTTTTCATCACCCTAAACGTCTTCACTTCCATCTTCGGCCTGGTTTGCGTAACCGGCTCAATTTATTTCTACATAGAAAAGGGTATGGACTGCCAGCAAGTCCTTCAAGCCCCATTGTTGATTTCTGGTCTATTGACCTTCGTCGTTTCCGTCATGGGCTTACTGGCTTCATGCTTCAGAATCAACTCTCTCCTCATCGTCTACATTTTGCTAATGTTCTTCGTCATTCTCCTCCATGCCGCCTTCACCTTGTTCATGGTTTTTGTCGCCAATAGAAACACTGGCATCGTGGCGATCAAACTCGGGTTCGAGAAGCAATTTGTTCACGACATTAACAGGCGATGGCTGAAGAGATATTTCTTGAGCGCCAAGAGATGGAGTGGTATTAGGGATTGTTTAGCGGAGTCTGGTGTTTGCAGCGATCAGGATAAGATTGCTGTCAGCCATGCCTTGCATTTTTTTAAGGGCAAATTGTCTCCCTTGCTGGTACGTAAATTATTCATTTCTATGTGTTTGATGTAATGTCACAGGAATTTTTAAGATGGTTATTGCGTGGTCAATTGGGAGAAAAAAATTGCGAATGCATTGATAAACACAGATAGAGAAATGTAGAAATATTTATATATATATATATATAGATGAATTCATATTAGTAATATTGCCATTTCTGAGTTTTTCTGCTCGTCTCTAATGGAAAATGTAAGGAGGTTTGGTTTTAGACATCTCTGTCAAAATAGCATTGGAACAAATTTAGAATTGATTTGGAAATCTGCACTTAGTTTACTCAGAAAATGGTAAAAATTTTCATCTACAATTATAAAACTTGATCTCATTTAGAATTTTAAATAGAAAATGCAGTCTAAATTTAATCAATCAAAATTTATTTTAGTTCTATTTAGAATTTTCTCTGAATTCATGGGCTAGTACAAGATCTTTAGTGTCATTGACTTGGTTGATCACTGTCAAATTTATGGAACATTTGATTTAGTATCATGTTTAAATGGATGATGACTTTATGCCCTTGCATATAATGAGCAGTACTGCACTCCTGTCAGAACCTGTAACACGAGAGAAGACTCTATATTCTCACCCCATATATACATGTTATATTATCCAATTGATACCATAGGCTTGAAACCCTAATTTTTCTGTATACTTGCAGAAACATTGATGATTGTCAGTCATGTCTATAACCATATTTGTTACTTTGTAAGAAACAAATCTTGTAGAAGGTACTATAGATCTTTGACAATATATACTTTTTTTGAAATAAAAGTATAGAATGTGATATTAATTAGGTCCCGTAAATCCTGCAATGAAATTGGAGTGTGATCCAATAACAAGAAACCAAGGGTTTGGAACCATCTATTATTATGTCAAAACCATTCGAATGATCAACCCCTTCAAAGTTTTTTTGTTCCTCTCCTCCCACACTGTTCTCATTATAGATCTTTGACAATAGATTACTAACAAAAAGTTCTATTACTCCTACTAATCTATACATGTCATACTATTTTACAGAGACAATTGTTTTAGGTTCATTGAAATTATTATTGGGTTACTAAATTCCTGCAGTTTATATACACGCACACACATATATTCTTCACCATATGTGTTGTGTCTGCTTTGCATTGTTGCTAACCAAGACTCCCGTTAACATGATCAGGTGGGCTGCTGCAAGCCACCGCGCTTCTGTGGATTCCAACAGAAGAACACAACCTTCTGGGAAATGCCCAGAAGAGGACCAGCTGTGCCAAACAGTGACTGCAGTACATGGAGCAACAACCAAAACAAGCTCTGCTTCGACTGCAACTCGTGCAAGGTAGGAGCCGTGACAGACATTATTAGTAAATGGAGAACTCTTACCAAATCCTTCTTCATTTTCATTCTTGTCGCCTTCGTTATCTTGATCATTACTACCTCCAGCAGGAGGAAAATCATGAATAAGCGAAAAAATATTGACTCTAGAGCCTGACCACGCCCGTACTAACATATTCACTGATTCATGTGATCACATCATTGAACCTTTACAGAGGCGTGTTCGATTTAGAGATGGAAATTCAAAAGCTCTAATTCTGTCGCTCTTACATTTAGAACTGTCATAAGATCAAATAAACGAAATTCTAACGTATAGCAGTACCTCAGGACACATAATATACGGTACCCTAGGTTGTTTCTAACCTTCAATATCTCAGCAACAATTGTAAAAATTGTAAAGATTCTATTTGTTCCATCTCACAATTTTGGGAATAGAAAAACATAGAGTACCTTAAAGGCACTAATTTAGACTTTGCTATGGGCTGTGTATTGTATATAAATCCTTAAATTAATGCTCATGAACTATGATGCATATTGTTTATATAGATATATTATATAATAAATATGTAGTGGGTAATTTTTTGCAGTTGTGCTAGCTTCATTTTATTCACATTTTCTTTAAATTGGTTCTTCTTCCACCCATTAATCTAAAGAATCACCTTCCACCATTATTAATCAAAGATACATACTTTCTAGCATAATCTAAATTGGTCACATGGGATTTATTTATAAACTTACATTTATTTCAATAAAAAAATGGTAATTCTTTTAATCATAAAAATTGTCGTATAGAATTATTAGAATAATACAACTCAAATTTCATCAAAGATTATAGAATTTGAAACACGTTCGATCATATAATATGTTAATTTTATTATTTTTTAATAGAATTTATACTTTTACTAGTTGAATTAAATATAATTTCTTAATTTATTTCGAGTATTTCGTAAGTTAATAGATTATCAATTACTTCTCTAATTCTCCCATTGGATGGCTCGTGCCGCGTAATCTTAATTGACCAATTGAGATGAAGATTGATTTCCACGATCGAGCAAGTAATTAAAAGCTTTCAAAAATAGTAAAAATACGCTATGTTTCTCATGGAAATATCCTCGGTATTTCAGGTGTATTGTACACATTTGAAAGCTTTATCTCATGTCATAATTAACATTTGAAAAACTTATATTACCAATAATCTATATAAATTATTCTTAATCATTAAGTAAAACAATTCAAATTACAATTAATTAAAAAAAATCCAAAACCCACAAAATCTTCCATCACTTTAAATGGTACGTGTATAAGATAGACACGTGTACGTATACATATATCAGGAGTGTATATTGGATAAAGAGGGAAAAAAAAAAAAGAAGATAATTATTTTATTTTCTTAATTTTTAATTTAAAGGATATGTTTCTCTAATAAAAATTAAAATCAGCATTTATCACTTTAAATTAAATTAAATAATCTTAATTGAAAAAAATAATAATAATAAAAGAACACCAAAAGTTAGTGTGAATACGAGGAGAGGGGAGTTGGGAACCAAAAAAAAAAAAAAAAATACACGTTTTCAAAATCTACACTGGGGGGGTATTTTGGGTATTTCAACCTTCCAGAACGGCAAAACGTGTGAGTGGCAATTCTCGTAATAACAAGGAAAAAACAGGGGTGAAAGGTTAAGGAGTCCGTTTTATTAAGCATGAGAAGAGAACCGTTTTCGCCAACGTATAATTTAGAAATCAGAAATCAGGAAAACTGTTTCATATCCAAAGCAGACTCTCCCTCTCTCTCTCTCTCTCTCTCTCAAAACCCTTTCTCTTTTTAGTTTAATCCGGTTTTAGGATATTCACCAACACCCGTTACTGCAAATCGTATCTTCATTAACACCCATTTTTCTATTTACTTTTTCTCTCTGTTTCTCGATCAATCGACAATGTTTCGTATAAGCAACTTCCTGGTTGGTCTCGTGAACTGCTTGGTACTGGCGGCGGGTCTGGCGGGGGTCTGCTTTTCTATATACTTCCATTTGAACGGCGGAACTCAGTGCCAGAGGATTATCCAGAACCCGCTTTCAATCACCAGCGCCGTCCTCGTCGTGGTCGCGGTTCTAGGTCTGATCGGTGCCTGCTGCAAGAACAACTTCGTCATGGTGATTTACTTGGCGGTCCTGTTTTTGGTGATTTTGGCGCTGATTGCGTTCACGGTGTTCGTGTTCCTCGTCACCAACGACAGTGCCGGCAAGGTTGTGTCGGATAAAGGATTCAAGGAGTACAGGACGTGGGATTTCTCTACCTGGTTGAGGAGGCATTTTGTTCAGGGGAAGAATTGGGAGGCGATTAGGACTTGTTTGGTTGACGCTAAGGTCTGCAGGAGTCTCTCTAATGATGCTAGCCACACAATGGCGGAATTCTATAAGAAGAATTTGTCTCCGATACAGGTAGTATGCATGCACACTATACATGAATATTACATACGTAGATACACTCTGCATATACTCGATGATGATGAAGAGATTTAAATCGTATATTATCTTCAAAGATAAAATCTATTTTGGGGGAGGGTGTTTGGATGATTTATGTTTCATATGAATTGAATTATTTGTTTTGCATGATTTTTGAAGATTCTTTTGAGTGATATTTGGCTGATATATCTGTATCCTAGGAATCTGTATGATTTCTGACTAATTTTCTTCTCAACTTTTTAAGAATCCATTTCTTTAAACTATCAAAGTCATTTTACTGTTGTATTAACTTTAATCACTGTATTAATCTTCTTATTGTCACAAAATTGAATTTGAATGTTTTTATTGTGTGTATTAATTAGTAAGACTGCAAGTTTGTGCATTTGAAGATATACATTAATATATACATTTAAAAATTTCAGGTAAAAATTGCACCATAACTGCTGATCAACTCTATAAATCTATAGATGATAATATTTAATCACGCGAAAAATTTAAACTAATAAAAGAGTTTATAATTTCACAAGTAATTTATTTTCTTTTTTTCTTCTCAGTCGGGATGCTGCAAGCCACCAAAAGATTGTGGGTTCGAGTTCAAGAACGCGACGTGGTGGGTGGCCCCAAAAACCGGAGTGGCTGCCGGGAACGACGGAGACTGCAAGACCTGGAGCAACATTCAGACGGAGCTTTGCTATCAGTGTAATACTTGCAAAGAGGGAGTGCTGTTCAACATTAGGAAGGAGTGGAGGCATATTGCCATTTTCAATGTGTGTCTTCTGGTTGTCATCATTTTGGTCTACACGTTTGGCTGCTGTGCCAGGAGGAACAATCGGAGGGATAATAGGAAGGGGCATATGGTCTGATACATGTATGTATATATACACATACATATATATATATTATATATGTTCAGGCTATATTATTCATCAATTGGTTTACAGGGTAGGATAGTTTCCAGATTATTAGATGTTGGGATGTTCAGTTTATTCATTTTGTTTTTGGTTTGGATGTTGGATTCAGATGTAGTTATCTTCGTAATTAATTTTTTAGATTGTTACAAAGTGATTAATTAAATTATTTTTCTTTCTTATCTTTATATATGATTGATATAAAGATAATATTGTTGTACATTATTAGATCAGGTTTCTTGGGATTAGACTGAATCTTTCCGTTTAGACTCTCAACTATCTCTGCTTTTCCTATTAGAGCATTCTTAATTATTTTTCAAAAATTATAATTTTAGTGAAATTAAGTTTATAATATTCCACATCATATAGATTTAAAGATATTTTTATACATAAAACTAAAAGTAAAAATAATGCTTAATATATTATTATTAACAAATACGACAATATCTTAAATTACTTTTTGATTTTGTAATACCATTTTATGTATAATACTTCAGTATGAAATTAGTAAATAAAGTTTTCATCAAGGTGCGACCTAAATTCACATGCTGCTGCAGCGCAACTCTTCTAAACAAAATCGATTCAACTGTAAAAAGATTACCAACATTGCTGATATACTGATTCAATGTAAAAAAAAAAAACACAGTAAAAGCAGCAGAAAAGGCAATTGCTAAATGTCATAAGACTCCTAGGTCAAGTATAGTCATTTCACTTGAGAAAAGAACATGCAAGAAACAAGAAAAAGTAAGCTACTAGGGATGTTAGGAGTTCGAGTGTCCAGGTCGGGTGGATTAGAACTGTTGGGATCAGGGGAACAAATATCGACCCACATATCCACCCTGTTGCCAGAGCTCCTAATCTGCAGTGCAACAAACAAACATTTAACTTGATAAGCAATCCCAAACAGATGAAAAAGGATAGCAGCTATTGAACAGCAATTTCAAACTTACCCAATTATGAAAGCTCTACCCAGGCTCTTTGTCTTCTCGTTAAGAAAATATATGCAAGCTGCTAAAGAAACTGCTACCTGCAGTTAAAACAATATTTCTCAGAATCAGAAGAACCTGACGGAAAATTGTAGTTGTATGCAACAATGTTTTCTCTCTTCCAGGATTCAAAAGCTGAATTCCAGTAATTGAGAAGGACCAAGTGTCCAGTGCAAGTAAGCTTCTGGATGATTGGTTCAGATATCAAGCCTTCTTACTAACAATAACTGACAAGCACTGGAGGGAACTCAACGCATGCAATGGTAAGAATTTACAGCCAGCACAAAGATACAGCAAACACCTAAATTACTCAGAACGTAACCAACTTCAACTAAGGCACCTTCACTTTGTTGAAAGAAAGAAATTAAAAACAAAAGGACCGGTTTAAAGCTAACATACTAGGTTGAGAAAGTACGAGAATTTATCAGCAAGTACTTGAGCGCAAGCAGCAACTGCAACATCTATTTTTTCTACTTAAATTTGAATGCAACCCGAAAAAAAGATTTCGGAAAAGAACAGCAAATCCTTGCATAGGCTCCAACAAATATACAAGTATAGATACCTCTATCAGATTAAGAACTTAAGACTCCCACCATCACCGGGCTTTGAGTGTTAAAAAAACTAGCAAACTAAAGTTATATTTCGAAAGCGTTTAAAAAGTCACAGATCCTCTCTGAAATATTCTACAGAATACTAATGACATTAATCCATATAAAGAACAAGATAAACAACCATTTAAGGATGCAACCATATCCAATACTTGGATAGTAGGACAAACCTGAAACGCAGGTCCACCCTCAGAAGAATTCATGATACTCCAGCCACCCATGAACGCAAAGAGGAAAAACCTTCTAAAAACAACTTCCATCGGAGGAAGTTCAACAAAGTTAAGCAAGTTCTTAATCCAAGGTGGAGATTCATCTACTTTCTTCTTTAGTCTGGTTTTAAGATTAATTTTTGTCTTCTTTCTTTGTTTGAAGCTTTCCATTAAGAGTTTCTCAAAAGCAGCCTCTACTGATTCTTCACTTCTTTCATGTCCAGCATACTGCTGCAAGAGAAAATTCCGTGATCCCCAAATTTCTTCTTCAGAAGCATAGGGACTTATACCGAGGCGTTTATATGGATCCCAAACATTGATTCGTGGAAAAGTTGGGGCATTACCTGCACAAAGAGGAAAAGTTGACAGTATGAGCAGTTGGCCAGAATAAAGCTCAGAAATTGATGTCCAGAAAACATCCAGGAATCACATTCTAATATCACATGACATTATCAATAATCCACAATGCAATCCATAAGGCTTGCCAATATGGTGCATTTGGCCATTAAAAAAATTATAATTTTCAAGTCCCGGGTGGAATAAAAAGATGTTGAAAAGAAGCATATTGTGAATTAGAAAATCGGGAAAAAGATGTCAATAATCAAGGGAAAAAAGTTACAATGGTCATTTATACTCAAGCAAGTCCTACAATAACATGACCTAATTTTAGTGCCGCTATAGATATTCCCATGCATCAAACGCCAAACAATTTGATAGCTAGAAAGGGCAGCATATAACTCAAGAATCAGTGGAAACACTGGAAGCAGAGATGAAAATAACAGTTCCAAAGTATGATGTCTTTACATTTTCTCTCCATATACAATTACAAGATTAAATTCATTAGTTATAGATACAACTTAATCTGCAGTTCCAGCACAATCAAGCACCTGAAAATCAGCTGGCCTCCTAAATCTAACACAAACAAACGAACACCAGACGGAGAAAATACCGTACATAAAGATCATACATGTAAAAGCTAACACAGATTACTCCACCGTATCCGCACTTTTCAACAATTAATTTATTATCTCCCTAAGAAATAAAAAACGTTTATAAATATTCCCCCAATCATCAAGAAATGCAGAAAATGGAAGGATATAATAAAAGAATACCTCCGTAAGGTGAATCAACAGCACACCTAGGATTCTAAAGCTTG